AGCACCCGACTCCTTCCCACAGAACCTCACCTCGACCAAAACCAGTCGCAACTCCACGGTGGTCAGCGATTGAAGAGCCAAGACCGAGCATCGTAGGGCCACATAAATTGAGCCGCACCAACTCTGTACCGCTGCACCGGAACAACAAAGAAGCACAGTACCACAACACCCCCGTGACACCTCCGCACCGAAGCAGGCGGCGTGAAATTGGGCGACCATCAATTAAAAGCACATCAAGGTGAGACGGGAAGTAGCCAAGTGGCCAGGGGACGAATTTCTGGCAAAGCCCAGAAGCCCAGTGGAAGGAAGCGAGAAGGAGACGACAAGAAGTTGTTGTTCGGGAATTTGGGAAGAAGGCGATTTGGGGACGAGGGTTTTTTTGAATTAATATATTATAAGAAATAAAATAATAGAAAGTTCCGCAACACCTACCTCAGTCTGAAAATGTTCGTTATGCAAATGCTTCATGATATGTTCGAGAGCTCGACTCATCAGAGACCTAAAATTTAGCGAGATAATTTTCATCAATAAATTATCCAATTTTTCAGAAAATTATTGAAATTTCTCACTTAATAAAAAATAATGATTAAGTGTTTTTATCAAAATTATTGTGGAACTTAGAACTCTCAAATTTAAAAGGACAAGTCTCGGAAAAAAGTCACGAGGCTTAAAAAATTAATTTTTTCGACCTTATCTATTTATTTTTATTTTCTTAAAATGGATCGACACGAAAGAAAAAAAGGCACATGAGTTGTCGACATGCATTTTGGGACGCTGGGCGTTGATGGGTTGTAGCGCTATTGGGCCGTCTGGCATGCGAAATGAGCCGCTGGGGTTTGGCCTGGCATGGAAGGAAAAGGGGGCTGTAGGCTGCAATGGACGCAGACTTCACCGGGCTTGTAGGCAAGATACAACAAGGGAGCGCAGCTACGCGGGGGCTGAGTATAGGGTGAAGAGACGGGCTACGCGAGCCTGACAAAAAATCATAGATTTGGGCCATGGGCACCACAAGTGGGCTTTGCCCTAGCGCTGGGCCTATTCCAAGGACGGACTGGGTCTCGGGAAGAAGGGTAAGCGAGTTGCACCTGATTGCACTAAAAATCACTACAGCGAAGTTTTTTCGACAACGATTTCACACGTGACGATGGGGTTGAAATAATAAAATTGTACAAAAATATAATTTTTCACAGTTTAGAAAATTTCAAAAAACTAGGTTTTGGCTCGCAAAACGAAATGACGGTTTTTAAGGCTCGAACAAAATAAATGATCGCCCAAATAACTTAAGACAAAGGCTCGAAAAATAAAACGAGGCTCCAATATTTACGATTTGACCACAACACAAAAGAGGCATGATAAACGAGAGTCTCAAATCCACATGATTTTCAAAAATCACAACACAACGAAAGAAAAAAAAATATTCCGACCTCAAACGTAGGATTTCGATTCAATAAGCACAAATTAAACCAAGACAATTAAAACACTAGCGCAAAACAAAGGAGGTTCAAATGATTTTACCTTCATTCGGGAATCTACACGCTCGTGAATGGACAAAAGAACCAAAGCCTTGACGAACGGTTCGAATTTTGGTTGCAAAGGGACAGACGGATGCAGCTCTCGTCGCCTTGGCGACTGGCCACTTCTCGGAGATGTCACTGCATGAATGGACAGAGGCATTTGCTCGCGAACAGGCTGCTGCGGATGGCCACGGGCAGAGACTTTTCGCGACCAGGTTGTTCCAAGGTTTTTTTCCCATGATCCAGCCTAATTATTCAACTCCCTTCAGGTAAATCCGGGATCTGCACTTTTATAGGGACATAAAACATTTCTTTTCTACCCAAAGCCCATTTCCATTTGTCTTCTAGGTTAGGATTTAGAGTTTTGATATGAAGGATTGCCTCATTGTCCAACTTATTAAATACCTGTTTAATCAACCTCTCATTCCAGCTAACACCATTTTCAGTCATTAAATGATTGACCTAAATCAGATGGCCTCTAGCTATCTCTAGAAGGTCTGGTTTTTGCTTAGAAATAGTGACACCCAATTAATATCTTGGATTTTAATTGCCAACCCATTCCTTATTTACACCATCAGACCCTTAGCAAAGATTGTGATAATCTTCATCTCACATTTCCGTAACCAAGATGCATTTTGTTTCCTCTTAGCTTCTACAATTGAAGAATTTGGAAAATACTTACTTTTCAATTCTTTGCTAACCAAAAGTTTAGTTTGAGTCGTTATTTTCCACAATTGCTTGCAAAATAGGGCTTCATTAGTTTGACATCCTGGAATACAAGCCCTCATTTGAATTTGACAGGGCAGAAGGCTCCAATTCTCCAGTGAATTCCCTTTTTGCATGTCCTCCCCTTTACTCCACTAAAACTGGGCACATACGTTGTATACTTCTTTGCATAGAGAAGTTGAGAGCTTGAAATGGAAAATACTGGTAGAGCATTTAACAACCTATATGAGAATGTCCTTACATGCTGAAGGTAATTGTTTGTTCTTCCAAATTTCCAATTTTGATCTCATATTATCCATAATAAAAGCAAATTCTTCACTCTTTGATCTACCAATACCCATGGGAAGGATTAAATACCTGGTATATGTATGAATTTTAATTCCTTGAAGAATCCCACAAATGCCAGCCTTAATGTGATCAAGAGTATTCCTACTGAAAAAGATGGTTGATTTCTCCAAGTTCGCTTTCTGACCCTTGAAAAGTCTATATAATTTCAGGATGTTGAGCAGCATCAAAGCTTGATCCGCTCCTGCCTTACTAAAAAGTAAAGAGTCATCTACAAATAGTAGGTCTCTTTAGCTAATTTCAAACGAATGAAAGGGAAAGGCGGCTGAACTTGTATTGTGCGAGCGATGATGAAGGTCTGCCTTGGCAAATTAAGGTCACTTTGACCGCAGCAAAGTACAGACATAGGCACATCTTTTCGACCGGGGAATTGTTATTTTTTTCGGTCCTTTCGGGACACTGCTCAAATAACTAGAGAACAATCTATTTTCCGCACCTGATGAGATTAAGGTAGATAGCACCTCAGACACCATTAGAAAAAGAAAAGGGCAATGTGGATCTCCTAGTCTCAACCCCCTTGATGGTTTGACAAAACCTTCAATTGTTCCATTCAAGTTAAATTCAAATGATGTAGAAAAAATGCAAGCCATGATCAGATTTACAAATTGTAAACTGAACCTTATCTGAATCATTATCCTTTGGACACAAGACCATTAAACTTTTTCGTAAGCCTTAATCATGTCTAGCTTCATGTCCATAAAGAAATTCTTTGCCTCTTCTCAATTACATCGACCCTTTGTTTTGCCCCGAGTAAAAAAGTTGGGTGCCACCTGCCTTTCTTACTGGATTTCTTGCTGCAATTGAATCATAAGTGGGACTATTAAGACAAACCTGTGTACTTCAAATGTCTTAGTCCATTTCTATGCCTATTCATGAAATAAAATGTTTCATGTGCAATTATGACATTATCCATTAATTGTCTCCCTTGGATGAATGCAACTTGGCAGTCACTTATGCATATGATTCAGATAGTTCTTTACTCCCAAAGCAAGAATATTTGGAAGAATTTTATAGAACACACCTCATAAAGTAATTGGTCTATATTGGCTCAGATATTATGAGTTTACATACTTTGGAATTAAGGTAATGATAGTATAGTTCCAATATTGAAGTAAATTCCTAGATTGGAAGAAACGTTTCACAGCCATAACAAGATCATCTTTAATGAAAGACCAAAAATGTTTATAAAAGGAAGCTATCATACCACCTTCACCAGGTTCTTTCTCTGGATGCATACTGAAAAGGGCATCTTTGATCTCTTTCTCCTCCACTGGTAGCAAAACAACGAATTCCACTCTGAATAAGAGTCTCCAACACCAACTGGAGGGGCCATCGACATAATTCAAGATTCAAAGCACTCTTTACCAAGAAAACCCCTGTTGCTTCCATAAGTCTCCTACCCTAAGCATTCTATTAGTTTTCATAGAGATCGAATAAATGCGAAAATAGCTATTTTTTTTAAGGAATAGGTATAGCGCTTTTTCTTTAGACTTAAAATAATGAAAGAAGGATCAAACAAAAAGATAATATTTAAGATACTATTTTTTACCAACCTTAGAAGACACCGATTTTTGCTACTTTTCTTTTTAAGACCCGTTTTCGGTTCAGACCCTTTTTCCAAATTTATCCAACTCAATGAATTCGTCGGGCAGTCAGGCGGGATCCAGTTCTTGGCGCGATTATCTAATTCTATCGTCATATGAGGACCTCCTTCTCTTCTTCCCACTCCCTGTTCACACGATTCTCAAAGCAGAGGAGGAAGGGTAGGCAGCAAGTACCACGAGCCCTTTGCTTGACCATCGGGAAAGGCAGAAAACTTGTGTATTACATGCAAGGTTCAAAGACGCTCGAGCAAAGTGAACAAACGAAGCGAAGCGTAGTGAAGTCATAGAAGTGAAGTTCAATCAAGATTTGGTGTAATTGAGGATCGATTTAATTGAGAGATGAGAAGAAGTAATTTACTTATTGAATGGCGGTCTAAAAAAGGTATGGAATACCTACCCGAAGGCCAAAGAATACGAGGATGTACCCTGCAATCTTCCCATCCGTAAGAACTCAGTAGAGTACATATCTATCTTTTCAGCTTTTTGACTTCTGGCGAGAGAGTAGGCAGGGCGACAATTGATCTCGGAGAAGATAAATAAATCTAGCTTGAAAGGCTTTCCCTGAAGATTGGTCTTATTCAAATGTACGCTAGTGAACTAGTTGATATGGCATTTTTCCTACCTTTGGTCCGACCTTTTTCTAGTAGCAAGCTGAAATAAAATTCAATGTTTACGAAGCCATGCATAAAGTTCATACTCGTTGACAGAAGATAGCGCGGCTTGTTCCATGGCTTTTCATCCCAGTTTTGGACCTTGGGTAAACTTCCTTGGCCAAACCTATATCTAAATCATGAAAGAAAGTTCAAAAGGGCGGGGTTTGGGAATAGCAGGACGCCAACCTTGCATTTCTATTTGGATCCCCAGTTTTTCTCATTGGTAGATCCAGGACCCGACGACTAACTACTAACTAACTACTAATATGCTAGCACGACACACCATGTTTAGCTGTTGCTTTTACCTTGGAGCATTGGTGGAAATCCACCAGTCCTTGAAGTTGATCTTGTACTCTTCGTCTTCCGTGGGAGGAGCT